AAATAATTCAAGCTTTGAAAGATAATAATCTCCATCCAAGATTGAGATATCCTGCACAACTGTCCCTGGAAATTGATGGGAAAACAAGGTGCTTCCAGGATAAAGAGGAACTGGGGGAATTTGCAACCACCAATTCAACTCTACAGAGAGTATTGCAGGATATTCTAAAAAAAGAAAAATACAAAGAATCCAGAAATAGTGGAGGCCACGACTAGTGGAGCAGAGAACAAAGTGAAGAAGACAAACTGACAGCTACTGACAGAATAAGAGCTCAACAGAAATGAGGCAGAGAAGATTGGATGATAGGAACAGCTATTTTGGAGAAAATGACATCTTAATAGGTAATACTGATTTAGTATCATCTAGCTTTTGTCCTTCTGTCTCCAATGGTCTAAATAGGTTGTATCTTACTGGATTTTATTATGTACGATAGTATAAGCAAAAACCTTTTAAAGACAAGGAGATTATACAGAAACCATTATTCATTTTCTGTTAGTCAATTCTAAATACTCTGTAATACTGTCATTCTCTTAAATGGTTTTACATTGTTTTGATATACTTAATGCTACAGTATACGAAGTTGTACTCAAGGATTTCAAGGAAAGAGACAATATGGTAACTACTTTTAGGTCAGGATTATCTGGTGGTGAAACACTATTCTGCTTAAATGGTTATGTTTTGATCTGTGCTGTTTCGTTGTTATGCCCTCTTTTATCTCAATCTCCACTCCATTATTTACTTTTTTAATACTTTTTAAAAAAATTTTTATCCTTTTAATTAAAGGAAAAAAAATAGCAGGATATATTATAGTAACACACTTTGACTTTCCATTACCTCGATTTAAAGCCTTGTATTACTCTCATCATCTGGTTTTTAACTGATGTTCCCCTATTCTGTTTTGCTGGATAGTATCAGGTTCGAAAATTTAGGCATCAGCTGTGAAGATAATGAGATTCATTATAACGCTCATTCTCGTTGACTTTTATCTACTTTTGAAGACCTACAATGTCTCCAATGGTTTGGCTTTGTCGGTTTTGTTCTTTACTGTTTTGTTCAATTGTATTATAACTGATGATATAGGCAATTCTATTAGAGATAGCGGGAGGCATTATGGTAACCATTGTTGATCACCTTGTATTATGTTTTCACATTATCTATTATGTCCACCCTTTTGACTTGACCGATTCTGTTCTGTTATGTCACATTTGGTTTTACTCTCTTCCAAAAAAATAATAAGAATCGTGAGAGCAATGAAACCCAAAATGTGTAATAGTCATTGTACAAAAGAGAGGAAAAGAAAGTGCTCTAAACTATATAACTGCATGTATATTTAAGTGTATAAGATAGAATATGATATCACAGAGTTTTATTGGATCATTGAACAGAACTGTTTGCAGTATCATTGATGGAATGTCCACTTTACAAGCTTTAATTTTGTGACTTGAACAATTATTTCTAAGATGACAGTATGTAATCCATTAACTAGTGATTTCCTACTGTTCATTTTTTTTCTGCAAATCTGTATAACTTGTACCCTTTCTCTGCTTTTTTTTCTTTTCTCCTTAAATAAAATTAAAAAAAAAATAAACACATGACTATTGATGAACATCTTGCAGTATTTCATTGTTGCCAAAGCTTCAGCAGCATATTACCCCAAAACCTTCAAAATGTGGTTTAAAGTTTATACCCTTGTAGATGTGAAGACTTACTATGCTTTCAATTTAGAAATTTGCACCGGAACTCAGCTGCCAGGTCCTTATTAGTATAGATACGTCTGCAACTATATTGAGCAGTTACCAGGTTGATAGAAGGTCTTTGCAGTATCCTAAAGATAGGACCCACAGAGACAAAGCAGAGCTAGGAAAATGTAGATCTGCTGAGGTAGATTTCTCGTGTTTTCCAGCTCCTTTGGACACCTTTCTTACATACAGGGAATTTCCATATTATGAATTCCCCCTTTCCAAGACTCATGCCAGGAAACTCACTTTACTACCCTCTCTTAGAGTGGTAAAACAGACACATGAGCCAAACCCCACCAATCAAACACAAAAGAAACATAAACTCTAACTGCAAGAAAATGAGAAGCAGACATCATATAGAATCCATTTTCTGGCAAGTAGCCATAGCAGCTGCCAGATTGGGAGACAGCAGTAGTGGGGCTCGGGCAGCAAAGGTTCAACTTGAGATACTTGCAATGAGTAGCAATAGCAAAGGGATTTTCATGGAAGCAGTGCTCACTACTCTGGGTCATATAGCCTTCAAGCCTAATTCCCTGGCTCTCTCAAGGGCTCGTGGATTATAAAGTGTCCTCTAATAAGCCCCTTCCTGCTTAAAAGGGCTAGAGAAAATGCTATATGAGTCAGAATTCTCCAGAGAAACAATCAATAGAGTATGTGTATATATATTATATATACAAGGGGAAAAAAAATATATATATATATATGGAGAGAGAAAGAGAGAGAGAGAGAGAGAGAGAGAGAGAGAGAGAGAGAGAGAGAGACTCACATGACTGTTACAGCTGGCAAAACTGAAACCCATAGGTCAGGATGGCAAGCTAGAAACTCAGGAGAAGCTGATACTGCAATTATGAAAAATTTCTCATTTTCTAGAAAAATCCCAGTTTTTGTTCTGAAAATCTTTCAATGGATTAGATAAGGCCCACCCATGTTTCCAAGGATAATCTTTAAAGTCCACCAATTATACATATTAACCACATCTACAAAACACCCTCATGGCTGCAGCTAGATTAGTGCTTTAACTGGGCCCTATTGCCTAGCCAAATTTATACATAAAACCAGCCCATTGCACCGACCAAAGCAAAACTCCAAGAATGGGTGTTCAAAGTATGAACATTAAGAGCCTTCACCCTGATGAAGCCTTCTTGGTGCATTTGACAGGTTTCCATCTGCAAAACTTCCAGGCACAGTTGTCCATGCCAAGCAAAGTTCACCTAATATAGGACTTTGCATTCGAGATAGGAGTCCTCCTGAGACGCCATCCCAACCACCATCATCACGGTCCTTCTCTGGCCCCAGATGGCAGTATCCCTGGGTTAGAACACAACCACAGTCTCTGCTATATACCAATCAGAGGCTGCTTTTTCCAAAACAGTAATTTTATTGCATTTTCCTTGATTTAATCTCCCCTAAGAACCATTATATGCTTTCTGTTTCCTTGGGCATGCAATGATTAAACTTTGCTTGCAAGCAACAGACACCAACTCTGGCATAAGCAATTTAGCAGCCCTTAGAATAAAACAAAAAACTAAAGTCCTGAGCAGATTGGAAATCCTGGCCTCCATGGGGATCAAGGAAGCAAGAATTAATTAATAGTCTTTGCAGAGCCCAGCTGCAGAGACGAATCAGAGTGAGGGATCTGTTTCCCTGGAGTACTCAGTGACCAGTTATCAAGGACAAGGTGTGCAATTTCCCAGGAGTGGCCCTGTCTCTAGTCCAGAATATGCTCTTGATAAACCATCGAGACTGAAATTAATGAGAGAAGTCAGGAAAGCAAAGCAAGGGGTATTAGAAGAGAAATAAATACCTGGAAAACAAAAATAAGACCCATGCCCATTTCTGGGACCCAAAGGACCTTCTACATCAAAACCACAGGGGCTGCAGAGAAGGATTACATTTTCTGCATTCACAAGGCCAGGAAAGAATGGCTGCAGCATCCTTTGACCAACTAAGGAGAAACAAAGATTTTCCTGACTGCAACAGTAGCCCCAGTCTCAAAGGTCGTCAATCCCAATTTCCTCCTGTTGTTTCTTATCCATAGCTTTTCCTAAGGAACGTGGTGTTCAAAGTGTTAAACACAAAGTCCTTTTCCTGAGCTCATGCCTTACCCCTCTCTCTTTGCTGAATACAAGGGTCTGTTTGGGGAAAGAATCTCATGCTGGGAGTGGAGGAAAAGGAGGCCGACATCCAGATCCCACTGCTTCCACTCTGGTCTTTAGTGAAGTCAGGGCTGATGAAGCAAACTGATTGAAAAGGAAAGCCATGCTCACCAGTATTTATCCTGTTTCATTGTTTTCTCATTTACCATCACTTCTAACCCCATTGGAATGTGAGCTCCACACTGGCACCTACACTGATCACTCACTGCTGTATTCCCAACCCCAGCACAGTAACTGGCACACAGCAAACACCTAGGAAAGTAAACTCTTGTGACTGAGTGAGCAGCTGGCATGTAAGGTACAGGCTATATCCCGCCTTCTGTCTTTGATCCTGAGCCAGATAGGTAAGGTCAGGTCTAGCATGAAGTCTAAGCCAGTGAGAGAGTAAAGAAAAGAGGGAGGGAGGGAAACAGGAAGAGGGGAGGGTGGAAAGAAGGGAGAGCTGGGTCCCCTGAACACAGCAGAGTTGGGTTCCATGCCTGGCTCTGGCACCTATGGGGCAGGCATGTCACCTGACACCCTGAAGCCAAATTTCCTTGGTTTTAAAATGGGGATCTTACCACTTCATACTGTTGATGTCAAAATTAAATGAGAACTGAAGAGGCTGGGGATTTAGCTCAGCAGCATAAGCGCCTGCCTGGCAAGTGCAAGGTTGTGAGTTTGACCCCCGATATCACAAAAAAAAAAAAAAAAGGAATCCACAAATAAATGAGAACTGAGCGGGCAGTTGGTGCACCATAGCACTCCCCTCCACAGGAGCCCCTTGTCTCTGTTGTCTGCCCAGAAGGAAGGGAGGGTAGTTGCTTAACCAGCTGGTGAGAACTGAATGCTTTATCTCCAGAGCTCGGGAACTGGGGTTATTTTAGAAGAACATCCAGGAAAGGGCAGTGCCTGATTCACAAGAAGCAATGAAGCACACTGGTGGTGTACTCCAGGGAAACAGATCACTGGTGGTGACGCACATGCACAAGGATGGGCCCTAGAGATCCCTGTAGAAAGCCTCGTGCTGAGATTGTAGCATGCCTAGCTTGTCACTAGGAGAAAGGCCACTTCAGTGCTGTCTTTGCATTCAGGGATAGGACCAAAAGACATACATAGCAAACAATTTTGAAAAGAAAATTTTATTAGTTTTATGACAGCTGCCACAAGTCAAGCCCTGGATGGGGACAGAGCTCTGGCAGCTTCCAACCAATGGACTGGAAAAGCCCTGATGTTCTCTCTGTACCTTTAGATCAGAGTTTAAGTGGAGGTCCCAAGAACACCCCCACTTCCTTACCCTTCAGGATGGAAACAGATTGAAGCAATGTAATCTTGTTGGTAATTAGGTTCCCCTGCCCTCAGTAATCTCCTTGGACAGTAAAAGGAATTGAATCAGCATCAGGACTAATGTGGCCCACCAGCCTCTGCTCTGGGTCATCAACCATGAGCACAACATTCCAGCCAAGACAGTCAACATTCTGAAGGGCCACCCAGATTCTAGAATACAAAATAAGAATCCCTTACCTTTTTAGGAGAACTTACCAGGAAATCTAAATTTTAGAGGGTCTACATTTCAGATCAACTAGAACTCTGATATTATAGGTTGTTAATTAGTTAACCACTTTTCTGGAAATCCCAGGGAGAACCAACCACTCCTACCATTCTGAAGGGTGAACGAGGAATTCAGTATTATAGAGTAACCAAAAAACAAAAACAAAAAACCCATGGTATTCCAGGTAAGACGTGAGACCCAAAGACCTAAATGTCAACCCTGACACTCACAATGCCAAACCAGAAAACCAAGGCTGGAGATCATCTGTGTTGGCCTCAGCATTCTGGAATCACCAGAACAAAGCTCTGTCCTCCAGAATGTCACTTCACTGTCCCCTCAGAGTTCTGTGGATGGCCGCTCAACAGCAGATCCATCGTCTTGACTGGAGTTGGGCACGCGGAAAGAGACGTAGGGACAGGTCTTGGTGTTGAGGCAGACTAGCTTCTTCAGTGTGGCCGTGTTGACGAGGTTGAAGCCCACCTCACCACCAAATGTGCTTGGCTTCCAGTACTGCGGGGAGCAGATGGGATTTCCCAGGAGTCCCTTGAGGGAAAAGGGAGCCCCAATCTCGATCATACTCTCCCCAAAGATGGAGTTCGGTAGGCATTTTTCAAGGAGCAATCCTGGGTAGAACTCTAAAGCATCGATGTCTCCATATAACTCCTCCAACTCAGCTGCCATCTCCTTGTCCCCTACAAAAGGGAGAAGCAAGAGTCAGAGCCATATTATCAATAAGGTAAAGCTTGGGAGGGAATCTTCTATGCCTATCTTTTTTTTCTGGGAATAATAGAGATTCCAGAAGAATAATTTGGGCAACTAAGCAAACATCTTAAAATTGGCCTCACTGGTGCTAGGGAAATGATAAGCAGGGAAAGCACAAATGGGCCCTTGTCCTAGCCTGAGTCTAGGGAATAAAGATTGCCTTGGTACTTTTAGGTCTAGGGTTAATTAGTTAACCACTTCCAGAAAAGTGGTTAACTAATTAACAATCTATAATATCAGAGTTCTAGTTGATTTGAAATGTAGACCCTCTAAAATTTAGATTTCCTGGTAAGTTCTCCTAAAAAGATAAGGGATTCTTATTTTGTATTCTAGAATCTGGGTGGCCCTTCAGAATGTTGACTGTCTTGGCTGGAATGTTGTGCTCATGGTTGATGACCCAGAGCAGAGGCTGGTGGGCCACATTAGTCCTGATGCTGATTCAATTCCTTTTACTGTCCACCAAGCAGCTTACCCATGTCTCTGGGCACTAAATATCTGGTAATTACAACAGGAAGGAGATTGCCTAGGTTGCTGTCTTCACAGGTAAATTCCACAGTCTTTTCTTGGTCCAAGCCCCTTTATTATGCTGATGATCAAGGATATAATAGAATGTGTCCAAGTTCCTACAGACATCAATGACAGTTTCCTTTCTGTCCTGCTGGACCATTTGTCTTGGGGATTAAATAGTGACAAAGGTTACTGTCCAGAATCACAGGGAACTTGTCATTGATCCTAGGTTCTGTCCCAGGCTAGGAGACCCATGAGTTTGCAGATAGTGATGATGAGGAGACAGACATGGAGCTTCCCTGCCTATTTCCTCAAACCCACCCACCCTAGAACCCTGGAGAGGTATCATGTCACACCTGCTTCAGGTGCTGATTATCTGTGACAAGCATTCCCAACTCTGCTGACCAACACCTGGGGACATGGGTGTGTGTGTGTGTGTGTGTGTGTGTGTGTGGTGCTGGGAATTGAACCCAGGGCCTTGTGCATGCAACACAAGAATTCTACCACTGAGCCACATTCCAGCCTCCCTTTGGTCCTTCTGTTCTTCAGCTGGAACATTCCTTCCTATTTATTCCTCAAACCTACTAGCTGAGAAGTTCCTTTCTTCCCCGGGCAGTGGCATTGCCACACTCACTACTCCTTATAATTCACACAGTCACAGCACCAGCCATGTATATTATCCTATTGTTTGCTTCAGGTCTCTCACTTTCCTGCAAGGCCCTCGAGGATAGAACTCTGTCCAGGAATGGGCTGCTCACCGGTGAGCTCCTGGAAAGAGGTGTAAGGCTTCATGCCAAATCTCTTGCGGTACTCATTGAATGGCTGCAGCCGCATCTCTCGAGCCTCCTTGATGACCTCCACCGCCACGTGCAGAACATGGTGGTCTATGTTCCTACCCCCACCAATCTGCCAAGAGACAAGCACAACAGTTGATCTGAGAGCCAGGGGGGAGTATGGTAGAGACTTCAAGGTCCTGTAAAGACTGTCAAGTCAGGAGTCTTCCATCTGGACAGAGAGAACCAGGAAGCCCAGAAGCCGCAATACGGGTACCTGGTCGTAGGCCTTGCCAAATTATGCTCTCTCCAGGCCCCCAGGGAGTCTCAGCTTCCCAGCACAGAAGTAGGTAGTGGGTCAGGGGGAGCTATGTAGTGACTCAAAAGCTACACCTCTCCCTAGTCCTGTCAGTCACACCAACAGGTGGTGTAATCCCCTGGGAGAAAAAGTAAGGCTCAAAGTCCAAGTGACCTGTAAGACAAAGAAGGCCCCAGGAAACACTTCTGATTCATGCCAGGGAAGGGGCATTGGTCTAAAGAAAGCTCTGTTCCTCAGATAGTGTTCATAGTTCAATGGAAGTGTAATGGACAGGGACAAACAAAAGCATGGTTAAATAAAATCATACAACTTGGAAAGTTGAAAAAAAGCACGCAGAGTCTGACCCTCATCCCAGATCATGCACTTGGTGCTGCTGTGAGTTGAACTGTGTTCCTCCTGAGATCTTAACCTGCAGCACCTGTGAATACGATCTCACTTGGAAACACAGCAGTCCCTCTTATTGGTGGTTTAGCCTGCACAGTTTCTGCTACCCACAGTCAACTGTCATCCAAAAGCACTGAATGGAAAATTCCGGAAATAAATAATTCACGAGTTTTAAACTGCATGATGTTCTGAGTATCGTGATAAAATCTAGTACAGTTGCGCTCTTCCCTTCCAAGCGTGTGAATCATCTCTTTGTACAGCATATCTGTACCATACAAGCTACCTGCTTGTCAGCCACTTAAGGTGGCAGCTAACTTGGCCATCAGATTGACTGTCACGATATCACAGACCTCATGTGCAAGCAGCCCTCCTGTAGTATGCTAAGCCTGCATCATATGCCTGTGACCTGCATCTCCCTTCATCCCTCTCCATAGGCACTGCATCATCACACATCATCCTAAAGATGTGCATAGTAAAACAAGATATCCTGAAAGAAGAGAGACAGACAGACAGACAGACAGACGTGGTTGGGCGGGGCTATAGCAACATGCTTTGTAACAGACTAGCACAGAGCAATGTTATAAATATTCAATTAGTTGTCACTAAAGATCTCTTATTGTAACTAATTCGTAAACTAGACTCATTATAGGTGTGTGTGCAGAGGAAAAAAACAGTTTATGTAGGATTCAGTATTATCTACAGTTTCAGACTTCCACTTCCATAGGTCTTGGAACCTATGCCCATGGATAAAGGGACTACTGCAGAGTCTCCACAGATGGAATTTACACGAGATCATGTTAAGAGCATTCACCTGAGATAGTGTGGGAAACAGACGAGATAAAGGATGCAAAGCAGTTATCGCAAGGTTGGTGACAGGGCGACCCCCACACATGATTATCTTGCAGAGTCCTGTTTTATCACTTTTCATTCTTTTTTTGGTATCCTGAGCGTCAACCCACTTCTGCTTCTGCCTTGTGCCATACTCAACGCTCCACCCTTTCCACACTCATCGTGGTCATTTCTGAAAAATGCTCTGGAAACCATGGAGCCCCACACAAAGGCTATTGTCTCTGTTCATGTGTGTGCCTCACAGGAACGAAAGCCACAACCCAGCCAGTCTGCCCCGATGGCAGCACATGCTAATGCTAGTCAAATTCCCAGATGGAGCCCTAACTCAGTGCGACTTTGTGACAGGGCTTAGGGATTGGAGGGAAGCAGAGGACTGAAGATGAGAATGAGACATTCAGACAGCTAAAACAAAGCAGGTGGGAACCTCCAAAGGCGGAGGAGGAGAGATTTTAGAGGGAGTTGGTTAGAATTCCAGAGAAAGAGGATGTTTTAGTTTGTTAGGGCTGCCACAACAAAGTCCAACAATCTGAGTGATTTAAGTGACAGAAAATTCTGTCATCTGTGTTGCAGAGCCCAGGGGGTTGGCCTCTTCTGAGGCCTCTCTCCAGGTTGTCTTGTCCCTGTGTGTGTATGTCTGTGTCTTGATTTCTCATTCCTCTGAAGACAATAGTCGTGCTGGATTAGGGCTCCAATTTCCTCATGTAACTTTAATTGCTTTTTTAAAACATTTTTTCCAAATGCAGTCATATTCTGAGGTTCTAGGGTTTCAATACATGAGTGTTGCAGAAGACAAAATTCAGACCATTTGCAGAGACTCTGATTTAATAAGCAATTACTATATGCCTATTACTGTGCCTCCTGCTGTCCTTTCTGTCTGGAGCACAGTCATCCCCTGCCCAGGAAATCCCGCTCCACCCTTCCAATTTCTGCTCAGTTTCTGTCATTTCCTTTCCCATAATCCTGATCTCTGGGCTGGAAGTTCTTCTGAGCTCCAGAGCACTGTGGCTTTTCTGTATTGTGGTTCTTAAAATGCTCATTTAATTCTTCTCCCTCTCTGGGTATAATCACCAAAGAGCAAGGACCTGAAGAACCACATCAGCCTTGTTCATCACTATATCCCAACACCTGAAGAAATGCCTGGGATTTGCCAGTGAACAAATGAAGAAGAGAATTCACAAGGGATGATGACAAGTAGCCAGCAGAAGTGACACTCTGCCTCCTTTATGGAAGAGGATACAAGGATTTGGCCCAGTTCTGCTGGACCCCAAAGCCCACATACCCTCACTGCTCTGAGACTTACCCGGCCAGCGCTCTGGCGAGAGAAGGCATCCACCAGGGCCTCGACTCCATAGTCCACTAGCATGGAGGTGTTGAACAAGAACTGCTCGTAGCTGTACTCCTGGGAGCCCACCTTGAAGGAGTCAGGCATGAGTGGGTGCCAGTGATACAGGTGGTTGAACTCCATGGCGATGCGGTTGCGGTACTGGAACTGGGCTCGGAACAGCAGTTCAGGGTCAAACTTGAGCTGCAGGAAGTAGCCACTCAGCTGCTGCACGTACTCTTCAATGACGATCTTGATGGTTTCACCTGCACAGAGGAGGATGGGAAATGCGGTCAGCAGAACATGGCAACTGACTTAGACACCAGACCTAGAAAGCAGGCTGGCATGTGAAAAGTGCTTCCTTTTTGTCGCCTTGTTGTGCTTGTTGTTAATTTTATCTTCCAACTTCCACTTTGTTTCTTTGTAACAGGATGTGAAAATGGAAGTTTCTGGCTCAGGTTTGTCTGGGGTCCCAAGACAAGAGCACTGCTACCCCCACATTCCAAAGGGAGCTGTAGATTCTGCTAAGCAGGACTTGCAAAGGAGGTGTAGGAGAACTGGTTCAGTGACCCCAGGTGCCCACCCTCCACTGCCCACTAAAAGAGTTTAGAGATACCTGGAAAGACAGAAAAGTTGGAGACTGACTTAGCAAAACCCCCTCAGTGACACAGGGGGTTTCAATGAGACCACACTCATAGCTGCTATAAGCACCCACAGAGGGATCATGAGGACAGGTGTGCTTAACCCAAAACATAGGTGAAAAAATATGTTTCATATGTTCATATATCAGCATTCTGATGGATAGAATTCTCTTCTGTCCCCTAAGAACCAGTTACAATGCAAACCACTGGGGAAGAAGCAAATCAAACATTCCACAACAAAATGAAAACTGGCTAACAAGGTATTAAAAAACTAACATTTTGGCCAACTGGCTTTTAGTTCATTGACTTGGAGCCACAGAAGCTGGAATCAGCTGACTTAGGTACAAATCTCAGCTTCACCATTTGTAGCTATCTGACCTAGGCCAGGGTTCCTAATCTCTCTGAAACTCACTTTTCTTATCTATAAGATGTGTACTGCATTTGTGTCAGTGCAATAACGTTTATTGGGAGGTGTGAAGCAGACGATGGATCCTTCTGAAGTGTTGGCCCCAGGGCTGGGCATAACAAGCAGTGTTGACACACTGGGCGGAAGGAGGAGCACCAAGTGCAGGTGTAGGAGCTGAATCCCCTCCCTATATACTTGCATGTCTCAAGAGACCAGAGTGAGGATTGCAACCCCTCTCTGCTCAGGAAGGTGGGCCCCACCTAATGAATGTCGTAGCATAAACTTTAGTAGCAGCCAGACCTACTTCAAGTTTCCCTGTGCTGGGTGGCCTTGGAGAATTCGCTTAACCTCTCTGAAACTTAGTTTTCACAAAGGTAGTCACATTTGATTCACACACGATTAGCCAGGCATGCTGCTGCATGTCTATAATCCCAGCACTCTGGGAACCTAACACACTAAGATCAAGTTCAGCCTAGGCAATTTAGCAATTTAGATTTTGTCTCAAGCAAAAAAATTAAAAAATAAAGCATGGTGATATAGCTTAATATGAAGGCCCCAGGTTCAATATCCAGTATGGGGCAGGCTGTTAGGAAGCATTGCAGGGGCTATTCTAGAAGAGTCTTGCCTTTGGTCACCAGCCAGTATGCTGGGCAGTCTCCAGTTATACACTGTCACTCTCTGGTCAAGGTCTCTGCAATGTTTGGGGCTTCAGACCAACTCCTCCACCCTCTTTAAGATATTCCTAAACCAGATGCCTGCACTTCCAGGCTCCAATGAATTAAGCACTATAATTGGGACCAGCCATGCCCAATGGTGCCCAGAAGTGGGGAGAGGAAGTTGTTAGTGACTCAGAGAGAACACGGTCTGGACAGAGATGTTAAGAGTCCAAGCTCCTAGGCAGGAAACCATCTGACATTTTAGGTTGCAAACACCCCCGGGGGGGGGGGGACAAAAATATCCCCTAACCCTGAGTCACCTAAAAGCTACCAAACTCCAGAAAGGCAAAGGCACATACAGCAGGAAAAAAGAAGCTCCTGGAGACTGAGCAAGCTGGTTTGATCCTGTAGGTACTGGGACATCAAGTGTACATCTGGATGCAGTAGGAGGGGAAACGTGAATCACCCAGCTAAGAATCATAATAGTCCCTCCTAGGCACCTTGCCATTCATGATCTCAGTGAATCCTTACAAACATCATTCTGCCCAAAGTACAGATTTGGAAACTGAGGCTCCTAGAAATGGAGGAGCCTTCTCAAGATCTCATAGCTGGAAAGCAAATGAACAGGGCTGTTAGAGCTCTCACCTATGAGGATGAGGCGGGTGGTCTGGAAGAGCTGTTCATCATCCCAGGTGGGATGCTCTGCCTTCAGCAGGTCACACACACGGTTGTGCTCACGCAGCCAGAGCGTGGCATACAGCATGAGCCCCGGCAGCAGCCCAAACACTTCTTGGCCCACGGCCATCCGGTTTTGGAGTGGGACACCCCGTGGATAGTGCATCAATATGGGCACCTCTTCCACTGATGGCGGATACACCTCCCCGTTCAGCACCTGCAGAATGGGTCCACCTGGCAAACTAGGCACTGGAAACCTGTATCTGCCTCCAGCTGACCCTTGCCTGCTCCTACCTGAGCTGCCTGTCCTTCTTGACCACATTCCCGCTTCTGCTTCCTGAATCTTTCCTCGAATCTGTCCTCAGTCGACCATCTGTTACCATCACCTTGTCCAAACCCACCCCCATCCTCCACCCTTATTCCTGTGAAGCGGACTCCTTGTGTCCATCCACCCTTGTCCCAGACAGTCCCTTCTCTTTATGGGAGCTAGCATAGTCTTTAAAAGACTCAAAACTAGTCACAGATACTAGCTTGAAACCTTTCCAACACAGCCTCATGCTCAGCGGGAATCATTCTTACCCTCAATCACTAGGCTCAGCAACAATCCGTTCTTACCTTCCTTCCATGTTGCCCAAGCTGCCTCCTCCTTCCAAGCCTTTACACATGCTAAATCTCCTTCCCGCAAACCCCATAGCCTCTCCTGGCCTCCTTATTTCCTCCTCATTTTTCAGGCTTTATTTCTAACTGTGTAAAGAAGTCTCCCTCAGGGACACTCTAATGGTACCCAGCTTCTCCTTAAGTGTCACTAGTTACGCTGCAGTTGTATTTACTTATTAAATGTCCTCTGCCACACTACCACATGCCAACTACTGTTCTGAGCCCTAAAGATTCAGCAGAGGACTTTGCTTAGGTTTTTGTTTGTTTAGACCTGCACAGTCCAGTGCAGCAGCCACTAACTGCATGTGAATACTGAGTATTAGAAATGTGGCTAGTGTAAATTTTAAAATCAATACTTCAGCTCCAAAAGGCCTTCAAGGATGGTTTGGAACAACTTGGGTACAGAAATCTATTTACTCAATTACACATTTTATGAAAATGGAACATAGACCTGACATCTCTAAAGAAAATTTAGCATCCAAATTGAAAGGTTCTGTGAACAGAAATGCATAAATGATTTTGGAGATTTAGTGTGGGGGAAATGAGATCATTAATAATTTTTGTGTTGATTACATGTTGAAATGATAATATCCTGGACACACTGCACCAGGTAAAATATATTGTTAAAGTCCATTACATTTATTTCTCTTTTCTTTTTTAATGTGGCCACTACAAAATCTTCTAACACATGGGACTCATATTACATTTCTGTTGGACAGTGCTGATTTAGACAAAAAGTCCCTGAGGAACTCCTAGTACTGACCCCAGTATCTATGTTAGTGACCCCTGATAGTCTGTGGGTGGTCGAGGGCAGAGTTCATAACGATGATGGTCACTGCTCAGTCACTTACTCAAGACACATCATGGTGCCCAGTGAGTACGGTGGAATAATTAAGTGAATAAACACGGGCAGCGAATTTCCATTTCCTGCTGAGCTCCACATGCCCCTCCCTGGAGGACACGGGAGGCCCTGTCTCCTCTTCGTGTGTGCTCACTGCCCCTCCTACTGGCACATATCTGCAGTACCCAAGGCTGGGCCATTCAGGACATGCATCAGTCCCCTCCCAGTAACCTTTGCCAGGGAAAGCAGGGGAGCCCCTCCCCAGAGCTCTCCCCCAAGACCAGTACTACCTGATACTTGAGTTTCCCATCCTTAAAGAGCCGCAGGTGATACTGACGCTCTAGATTATCTCCATAAATGTGGCCAAGGTCTACCTGAGGACAGAGAGGTCCACTCAGATTGCCCGGGTCCTGCCCAGCCAGTGATGACCCAAATGGGCAGGCCTGAGTACCTCCTCCTCCAGTACCTACCCCGTGGCCCAAGGCCTTGGTGAAGCCAGGACCCATCTTGCCGGAAGTCTTGAAGAACTGGTGGGTGAAGTGTTGTGCAAAGAAGGCAAACATGAGATTTGTGCCTTGGGGGTCAGGGATGAATTTCCTCCTGAGCAGGAAGCGCTGGCCCAGGAGCTGTGCATCCGGCAGCTGTTTCTTCCCTGGTTGGTAGGTAGGAAAAAGTGGTAGTTGCCTGGGTCCCGTTTGAACCTTCCTGTTACGGGGACTGCTGAGCTGCTTAACCCAGAAACGAAGCCCAGAGCGTCCTCTGAACCTCCACAGGTAGCCTGCACTCTCTACCAAAATACCTAGAACTATTTATCAATGTAATGGCATAATATTTGGAATTTGCCTTGAAATTAATTTTGAAATAAGATTGGCCACTCATGGGTAAATGTTAAAACTGGAAGATGGGTACATAGTTCACTGTATTTTCTTCTCAACTTTTGTATGTATTTGCAAACTTTGTACAGTAAAAAATTAACCAAAATGTTAAAAAAAAAATACCTTGAACACCCTGGCTCTGAGGCAAGGGAGGTTGTGTTTGTAACCAGTCATGTCTTTTTCTACTTTTGTAAAAACAGACAAATCACTTCATCTCTAGGCCTCAGTTTCTCCATATTATAAAGCAGATAAATGATGATACTTATTTATACAGTAGACTTGAAGATTACGTGAAATAATGTAAGTATGACAGAGAACTGGTACGGTCCAATCTGTTAAAGGAGTCATCAAACTTTTTCCTATAGAAAGGCAGGTAGGAAATGTTTCAGGCTTGTTGCACATTTCTAGGTTAAAGATAGTAAGTCATGACAGATGTTCTTCATGATGAGATTAAATATTGAGAAGCTTTCCTTAATGATGTCAAAACAGGTGAGTTGGCACCCAAGTCCTTAACAAAAAGGAAACAGTGAGATGGGCTGGGGATTTAGCACAGTGGCATAAGTACCTGCCTGGCAAGTACAAGATCATGAGTTCAATCCCCGATACTGGAAAAAAAAATATTAGTTTGTCTCTGCCCATGACTTTCTGGGTGACCTCAGATGAGACTTTTTCTGGCCTTTCCCGCCTTTATCCCTGGTTCTGGTCAAGTCAGCTGTCTGGCTTTGGACCACCCATCTATGAAATGGCTCACTAAATGCTCTTCTACCTGCTTTCTTTTTCCCCAAAAGAGATATAAGCACCTACTTACCCAGCTCCCCTGACCCCCTTACCTTTAGCGCCCATAGGCTTGGGGCAGTCTTTGGGCACAGAGGGCAGAATTCGAGTATAATAGCTGACATTGGAAAAAGATTCCCAGCTGATGTAGTCATGTGCTAAATTGTAGGTCGGGGGGCTGGGGATGAGATTGGACCGCACTGCAGAGAACAAAAATGATGGTGACAAGGATGTCCCCACCCAGTGACACACACCCCTTTCCCTGCCCCGTCCTGGATTGGGGCTTGTTTTATCTGGCATCTCAAAGGCTCTGCATCCAGTGCCTTCATGTGACACCAAGAATCCCAAGAACCGGCCACGCATCTTGTTCCCCAGATTAGAGGGGCCCTGCTCCACACCCACCTGTGAGTACCAGGCGCATAAGCATGTCTCGTATGAAGGTGGCATTGATGAACTCCCAAAACCAGCGTCCATGTGTAAGCAGGAAGTGAAAGAAAGCAGGGCTGGGCCGCAAGGAATTCCGGAGCCAAGTCCAGAGCTCAGCTGTGGGGGAAGTGTGGGAACGGCTCAGTTGGGTCCTCCTGGCAGGACCCAAGTGGCCAGGGCAGAAGGTGGGACTGGGGATACAGGGCCAAGTTGGAGCAGGGAGGCACCTGGGGACAGGGGCAAGAATGGAGCCTTGGAAGTGGTGACACATGACAGAGTCAGACCAGAAATGAGGACGGGGCCAGGGACTGTGGTGAATTCCTACAGAGCCCAGAGCCAAGGTATGTGGGTGGCCCAGGAGCAAGTGGTCCCATTCCAGCCAGACTGGGGAAAGGATCAGGATCACAAGTGAACCATGGCCACAGACAAAGGCCAGAAGTGGGGTCCAGGAGGAGGATCCAGGGGACTGTGAGGGCCCGGAGAGGAGGGGGGCTGGAATCTCGGCTCACGGACGGTGCAGTTGGGGCCGCTGTAGCCCGTGCGGGTGCAGTCACACTCGTAGTGCTCAAGGCCAAAGCGGACACAGACCCCCTGGTTCTGACACGGAAAGTAGCAACAAGGGTTCACTGTGGATGAGAAACAGGCATCAGAGACCACGTGACGGGCTCCTGACCACCCCAGCCCTGTGCAGGAGGAAGAGGACAGCAGCGGGGACTCAAGGGACAGCTCTGCTTAAATCACCAGGTAACCACCTCTGGACTTCAGAGTCCCCCAAGGCTACCCTGTGACCATTCCCAAGCCATGCACATAAAGCCCCCACCCTGCTTTTTCTAAGCCCTGCTCTGGACCTCTCCTTAGCCCACACTGGACCCCCAGGGAATCCCTACTGTCACCAAATGAAGACAAGGGGAAAGTCTATCCCTCATTCTGTAACACTGAGGCTAGGAAGCAGCTGATAAGATACTGCAGCCACATACTTCGGGAGTGTTCACTTCCTCCTTTCTCAGAGCCCAGCAGCAAGGGTAGGGTTTGCAGCATTTAGGAAGGGAGACAAAAATGGGGGAGAGGGTTCTGGTTGGGAGGGTTCTCCCGGACCAGTTGCCAAGTTCTGAGCACCTGGATATTAGGAAAAATGAGTGCTACCACCACCTCTCCATCTTCACAGCAGGAAAAGAAGAGCAGGCATCAGAGTGCCCACTTTGCAGGTGGGAAAACTGAGGCCAGGAAGAGAGCCATATGAGTCACCAGAAAATGTTCAAACTAGATCAGGGGCTAGCTATCCTTTACTTCCTCACCACTTCAAGAAGCTTGATAACCAAGAAAAGGAGTTTTCCAGAACCCTGGGCCCTGAGCAAGGGTTGCAGAGAGAGAATTCTAGGGCCTCAGCTGCCTTGGCTCCTATTCCTGAGAGACCCAGACTCAGTCCAAATTGCAGTGGCATCTAGACTTCAGAATCTTGAGAAAGGTCCTGAACCAAGGAAAAAGGAGAGCCTGGGCTGGAAGATGTCCTGAGACAGTAACTGGAGTCCTGCACCCAGCCTCTGGCTCTGGGAGTAACCCGCCCCCCCTCCCCTATGTCTAACTCGAGTCCCTTGATCAATCTGCACTGCCTCAGGGATTCTTCAGCAGCAAAGTTAGACTCTGTGGGCTCATTCGGGCTCCCTCCCACCCCATGCCAGAAAGAGAGCACCTCCCTGCTCAGCAAGGGAAACTGAGACGCAGGGCGAGGTAGAGATTTGGCCAAGAACACAGAACAGAGCTGGGCAGACCCAGGACTCCTGGCTCCCAGTGGGAGGCTTCCACTGCAAATGCCAGAATCCCTTCTGATAACACAATTCTTTCTCTGGGCTCAGGGCCAACTCTCTGTATAACTGATGAGTGGGGGGCCAAGAGAACAGTGAAAGGTGGGAGTCGCTGAGGGGAAGTGTTCAGTCATCTCAGTGGGCTGGGTCAGAGGTCTCTACTCTGGGGAAGGGCTGGTCACTCTGGTCTCAGTATCCTCACTCCAGGTCCAGCAAGGGGCCTGGATCTGGGCAGTAGTGTCCTCTTGCTTCTCTCAAGAGAAGGCCTCCATCCACACCACAAGCAAAACTCAAAAAATCATGCAAATCATTTTTGCCTAAGCCTTGCTGACTCTCCACAGTCTGACAATGACATCCATGTGGCCCTAACAAGGGTGAAGAGGGGAGGGGCCAGGAAAGAAGGCTGAAGAAAAAAGTCTTATCAGACTGTTGCAGGCAGACCTGATAGGCAGGACCCAGGGAAGGGGCCTGGCAGGACCCCAGCCTCCCCCTCCCATAGCCAGATGCCTAGAAAGTCTAACAGGCTCAGAGTGCAATCCCTGCTGCTGGCTTAGGGACTGCCCTTCCCCCTGCTGGGACCTCATGGACCATCCACTTGATTCACCTACCAGGAGCCCCAGAAGCTCGCTACCACTCAACTCCCAAGCCCAGTTCTGGGACTTTGGCTCCTATCCCTCAGCAAGCCCAAAGCTAAGGTCTAGACCTCTCTGGGTTTCAGTTCTCCATCCCTATAGCAGTAGGGGCTCAACGCCAAAGACTAAAGGCTTCTCCATCCTCCCCAGACTTTGCTGCTCCTTTGTAAGCCTCCCCCCTGTCTACCTAATCCTGCCCTCCAGGACTCCCCCAAGTCTCTGTTCTAACCCCTCCTGGTCTGACTCCACTGCAAGCTTCCAAGAGAAGGGTGCACACCTCTCTCAATACAGCCTGGGACCTCATGGACCATCCACTTGATTCACCTACCTGGAGCCCCAGAAGCTCCCTACCACTCAACTCTCTGTTGATCTCCAGATCCTAGGGAGATTCAGACAGGCAGTCCATGTGGTGGCCAGAGCTTAGCACACTTCTGTGGAATTACCAGAATGACGGGGGCAGAGTGACCACTCCCCTCTTGGCTGGGCTGGAGATGCCTTCATCTTTACAGCCTCCTCCAATCCCCTGCACACTCCCTGGTTCTGCTCCAGCTGACTGAGCTGGAGCTGGTGGTGGGCTGGAGGCAGCAGAGGCTGTCCATGCCACACCCACCCAGTGAAGAAAGGCCCTGTCCCTGGAGCCTCTGCCAGCTCCCCCACAACCACTGCCCTACTCTCCACAAACACCAGCTGCCCCCGGGCAGGAAAAATCCTTCTTGCCAAAGACAACAGCTGCCACCAGAGCCCCAGAGTGTCAGGTGGGCGGAAACTGGATGCTGCTTGTGCATGGCTGGACTGTCACTGTCAGGCTGGGGAAGCCAGAGCTATAACTGAACAAGACCATGGCCTCACAGTCTCCTGCCCACTTATCCTGCCAGCTCTCCCAAAGACAGGTGATCACCTGAGCCTCCTCCTGTACAATGAAGACCCTGAGGCCCAGAGAAGGCAGGGACCTTGCCCAAATTCCAGTGCTTGGAAGCTACAGAACCAAAACTGAATCCCATGTCTTCTTCCTGGAAGTGCTCAGGTCTGGATTGGGGAGGAGGGTGTCCCACAGGCCAGGAATGGCCACTGTCAGGGTAGGTTCACAGTGACCTTGAAAATGTTACATGAATGAAATCAGGAGCCTTGAGTTCACAAATATCCTGTCCCTCAGCAGAGATCTCTATAGCTTGCTCTCGCCCTGTGCTGGAGGCCCCAAGGTAGGAATGATCAGCCCACCCACACTGTCCATGAGACACAAGATCTGATGGTCAAGCAGCTTGTCCTAGTTCCTGAAGATGACACCCACCCAGGACTGCCTGGCTCCGAAAATTTTCCAAGAATTTGAGCAAGGAAATGCCCTCCAGTCCAAGAGTTGAGGCTCGGGACTCCAGGCTGAGCGTGACTAGGGGACAGACACATCTGGGGAACACCAAGTGCTCCAGAATGTGGAGGTGGTAGGCAGTGAGAGGCAAGGCTGAATCCAAATTCCCTAAGAATAATATTTACAGAAGCTCTAGGAGCCTGGCAGCTCAAGAGAAAATTGGGCCGTGAGCAGCACCAGGCCTGGACCCGAGCCCTTCCATTAGCTGTCAGCAGCTCCCGCCAGGCGCCAGCACACCAGGCCCTCACAGCAGCACCCAGCAGCTGCAGGAGCCCAGCTGGAGAGGAAGCCCCCTCCTGGCCCACAGATGCAGCTGGTGCTAGAGATAGGAGATGGCAGGCAGCAGGCAGAGGGAGGCCTGGCCACAGGCTGGATTCTCACCCCACGTGCCAGGGTTAGCAGGCCTCAGGCTCCTCTGCCTGGCACACAGCCTGGGTAGCCAGGTCGTGCCCTCTCTCTCCCTCTCTACCTCGGCAGAGCATGCCAGGCCAAATCCAGGGGCTGGAAAGGCTGAATTTGAGCATCACAGATCTGGCACAGGTTTGCTCCTAGCTGGACTCCATCTCCTCCCTCGAGAGGCAGAAGCAACCTTCCCTCCAGCACCTGTCTTTCAGATGAGCCTGCCGCCCTGTCTCTTCATTTTCCAGTATCCCTGGATTCTCCTTGAGCGCAAAACACAGTCTTTGGCTTCCTTGGCAACTTCTGCACCTGAACCCCACTAGTCTCATCATCCAGTCTCTCCTTGGTCCTTGCAGGAGTACGGACTCATTTGCAGACTCATCGCTACCCATCCTGGCTCTCGCGCCCGATGGCCCTCAGCCTAGGTCCACTCCCATCCTGCACTGCACAGCTCCGCACTCCCAGCTGCTGCCTCTTGTCTACTGCTCCGACCCTCCTGGCCTCTTCTTCCTGCTCAGACCTTTGCACCTCAGCTCAAACTGCTGCTTCCTACCTAGCTGCACTGCTTCATTGTAAAGTCTCAGTTTCCCTACTTGCCACCTCTTCAAGGCCTAACTCAGCGTCAGCACCTCCAAACAAGGGCTCCCTCAATTCCTCACACGGAGGGGCAGCTGCTCCTCCACTGGGCTCTGCATACCTCTGTGCTTCTCTCTCCCTGGCCCCAGTTCCCTCAGAGGACAGTCTGCACACTTTTACTTCCTTGGTCAGACTGGGAGCTCCTCCTGGCTCTGTCTGCAGGTGCCAGCGAAAGACTGGCGCAAAGCAAGCCCTCAGGAATTAAAAAAGTGACTCCATTTAGACACCAATGCTGTAAGAACAAGAAACAAGGCAAAGAAAAAAAAAGAAAGAAAGAAAAAAGTAATGGCCCAGATCATAGCTCACGCTGCAGCTGAGTTCATGCCCTGTCCCCACCCAGGCACAAAGCACCAGGCCAAATCCACGGACCCCCTTACTCAGCCTGGTCCTCCATGCAGGGCTCTGTCTTCTCCCCAACAAGAGAGGCACAAGCCACCGAGAAGAGAGGCAGGTATGCAGGATCCGATGGTGTCAGACAGCCCCCTAAGGAGAGCTAGGCTCATCTGGAGGGCTGCCAACACAGGTCACAGAGGCAGCCCAGTCAACTATGGCTGTGCTACCAACTGACTGTGGGGTCTCACAAGCAGGCTCACCCACTCTGAGCCTCACTAACCTCTTTTGTAGAATGGGTCTAACACATCTCCTCAGCAGGGCTGATGTGAGGGACCAAAGAAGTACACATTCACAGCCAACCTCTTGTAAACTGTAAAGTGCAGGCCACGTGGCTCTTCCTCTACCCCTTCCCACAAACCAAGCTTTCACAGAACCCACACCCTTTCCTGGGACATCCTCCATCCTTTCTTTTTTCTTTCCCAAATGCCACTCATTGAAACCTACTCCTTCACAAATCCTGGTCTGACCCACAGCCCTCAAACGTCCTGAAAGCTTCGCAGCAGAAGGCCTGGACTCCTCCTTGACTCTCCCGCCCTCTCTAACCCCGTTTCAGAGATTAAAAGTGGGAACTCAGACAGGGATGTGTTACACCCCTAGGTTAGTGGAAGGAGCAGTGTACACACACATGCACACACATGCATGCAGTGAGGAAGAGGAAGAGGAAGAAGCCGTCTGCATAAGGGGCAGATTTCCTCCTCCAACTGGTACACTACACGCTGCGGGGTGGCGCGCTGCAAAGGGCCTAACTTTCCTCACCAGCCCATGAACCCATCGCCTGTAGGGAATAGGAAGAGTTTCTACGCGAAGACTTTGCAAAGAGCCTGGAATCAGACAGGTCTGAGTTCTAATTCCAAGCCCACCGGGTACCGCCCACCAGGTACCGCGTAAGCGTGGGGTTATCTGCAAGTACTGAGTCTCAGTTTCCTCATTTGCTTAGTGAAGACCTCGTAGGTAAAAATTATGCCCCAGAAAAAAAAGCAGCCCTGCCCTGTCACTGCATCTCTACCTGTCACCTGCCTAGAATGTCTGGTGAGCCCGGAATCTTCACCGGGAGGCTTTCCTACTAGGGCTGGGGATCAGGCTGGATCCCCAGAAAGTGAAGAGGGAACTCTACCCAGCTGACTTTCCCCTGGGCGCCTGCCGCTTCCTGTGCAAGGTCCCCACAGGAAACTGCGGGGATGTGGGGAGCCCAGGGCAGGTAGGGAGGCGGGAGAGGGGCTGTCCCGCTCCCCGCCGGCGGCACAAGAGCCCAGTCTGCAGTTCGCCCCTTGGGCACCGCCACACTCTGGGGGTCTCCAGGGAGCCCCCTGCCACCTCCAGACTCAGCCCCCTCCTCTCTCCCAAATGTCACGGGCAGAAGGGGAAGCTGGGCCCTGTGGAGAGAAGCCAGTGAGCTGCGCAGGGACCCGAGGCTCCGCGTGGGCACGGAAGGGGGCGCCTACCGGGTGCGGGCACCCTAGGCTCGGCGGGCAGGACCGCGGGCGGTGGCAGCAGGAGCAGGAGCAGCGGGAACCGGAGCGAGAGGCTCCTCCCTGCGGAGGAGAGAGAAATGCGCGAGTGAGTTCGGCCTTCAAGGCTCCAGCTAAGAGCACGCGGATTCCCGGGATCCGGGCGCTGGGGTCGCAACTCACGGCTCATGGCGCCGGCGGAGCGGCTCACGGTGCGGGGCGCGGACGCAGACTCAGACTCCTGGCTGGGCTCCGACACTGCCCGGGGCTCGGCCCGCCCCCACCCAACACCCATCCCACAACACCCATCCCACGGCTCCACCCCCGCCCCTCCCTCCAGCTGTCACCTCTGCAGCCACCAGTTTACTTCCTCTTCTCCCGCTCCGTGCATTAATTCCATGATTAGACACTTGTGTGAATTCTGTGATTGCACCTGAGACCCTTAAAGCACTCGATCTTTTAAAACCAAGTTGGGGGCGCTGGGGCTTTAGCTCAGCGGCATAAGCACCTGCCTTGCAAGCAGGCGGTCGTGAGTTCGATCCCCGGTACCGATAAAAATGAAAAAGACAAAAAAAAAAAAAAAGTTGGAGGGGGTGCCAAAAAATGTGTCTGTTTAATAGCTAGAAAACTGAGGCTTAGCAAAAACATACAAGTCTGAGGACACCCAGGGTTGGGGTCAGAACTATGGCTGGAAGGGAACAGCTATCCACACAGAGAAGGAAGGGCTCGGAACTGGAACAGTCCAGCATGGCCTGCAGGTAGGGCCTGCAGGGGAACTGACCACTCTCAGAAAGATCCAACAGGATGGACTTTACTGCCCCCAGGGCTGAACTCTACCAGAAATGCAGAGCAAGGATTCCCAGCCAGGAGACACGAGTTCAAATCCAGACTTTACAGCCTGCTGTCACCCTGGACAAGGTACCTATCCTCTCTGGTCCTCAATATTCTCATCCATAAAATGGGTATAATAACAAAACCCATCCCCTAGAGGATGTGAAATGCAGTGTGGCAGCATACACAAACCTCATGGGCAGTAGGTGTTCAGTTAGCAGGAGATCTCCTAACCCAGATTCCAGGGCTGGCCAGGTTCAGTGCTCCAGCAGAGCTCCCATCCACCTTCTGACTGCAGAGGGACAGTACCTGACTCCTGTTTTTCACAACTGGGGAAACTGAGCCTACAAGAGGCAAAGAATAGCCCCAAGAGTACACAGTCTCGTGGTTCCCCCACCCAGAGGTTCTCTCTCTCAGTTTCCCCAGCACACTCAGCCCCACAATGGGGAGGTCTGGCAGAGGGAACCCAAGATCCTAATGCCAGTGCCAGGAGTCTCTGGGTGTGAAACAGAGCCGTGCCAGGTGGGAGAGGTGAGACCTGCCAACTCCTCACAGAGCAGTTCCCAGGCTGCACCAGGACCAAAGCCAGCCGTCCTGGGAAGATGAGCAAACCAGGCAGGACCAGGGAGAGAGTGGGGCCTTGGGGTGCTGGAACCAGCTTCAGCCTTCCCTACCACCCCAATCCAGGACCCCCACAACTGCCCATGCAAGGCAATGAGACATGAGCCAGCAACAGGATGGGGAGAAGGCATAGACTGGGGTCTCTCAGGTGAGGCAGAAAGAAGAAAAAAGCAGGAAGGAGGTTCCATCTCCAATTCCCAACCCCTCCCTCCTTTTGGGCCCCAGGCCCAACAATTTACCATGCCTGCATCTCCTGCCAGCATCTATGTCCAAGCCCTCAGCTGTACCAAAATAACAAATAGGTGCGACCCTGGCATTGAGGGGAGAGAGTCTGGGAATCAGAACTGAGTTCGAGTGTCACTCATCCTGTGCTGTGACCTTAACCAAGCCAGTGGGCCTCTTGAACAATAGGATAATCAGTCCCCATTGTGGCCTGGAGTGGACCATCACTGTGGCTCTGTGACCCACTGCAGATCCCAGGATGAATCTAACAAAGGGTGGATGCAGGCAAGGGGAGGCAGAGACCACGACAGCACACAGGATTCCAGCGCCGCCCTCCAGGGTGGGCTGCACCTGGAGGGAAGAAAAAGAGAAGAGGGAGAAAAGAGAGCAGGTGGCCAGTGTGCAGGGCTCGCTGGCTTGCTGGCGCTGGAGCTGGGGGAAGAGAGTTGTGGAAAACACCGTAAGGCTCCTGGCTTGATGCTGGAGGAAATACGCTGGGCATGGGGGAGCCTGCTGGGCTCGGTGGGGTTTGGATTTGGCCCATCTCTGGGCAAAGTTCCTGCACATAGCTAGAAATGCAAGAGAGGCCCAAGTTAGCCCTTGCCCCAGCCCTGGGAGAGGAGCCACACAGTCACCACGCTTGGCCCCTCTGCTCCAAAGCCAGGAGTAGCCTGAGACTCAGGTAGTGAAACAACGCATGTTCTCTCTTATAGGAGAAATCTGAAAATAATCATAACAATAAATGAGTGACTAAAATAAATGAGAGATGATGGGAAGCTAGAAGGTAGATTTTTGGAGATGAATGAGGATAGAAGGAGGGGGAAAAAAGGGAGAAGTGGGTCACAGGATCAAAAATAATCCAAAGATGTTACATGCATGTACTGATATACAAAATGATCTCACTTTTCTGTATAGGTCATGGGCACCAATACAAAATCAACGGAAAGCCAACAGCCTGGATTTGTCGATGAACTCCCACGGCCCCTCAGGAGTCTGCCTCCTCTGACCTGTCTCCCTGATTCTTCTGCAGGCAGTTGCTGTGCCTCCCCTGGCCACACCAGGGCTGGCTGTTGCTGTTCCTCTCTCCTCTTTATTGAGCTGTGAATGTCTTGGTCACTCTGATCACTAGTGTTGTCCCCAAGCCCAAGCACAGAACCCAACAAAGGGAAAACCAGTGATGTTGGTTTTGCTTGGATAAAGAAATGGGTAAGTGCCTATGAGGATAAGTGAACTCAGGAAGAAAAAGACCTTCTGTGAGTGAGAGAGGATCCAGGGCCAGCCTCATCTAGGGGCCTGCCAGCCCATCCATCCACTGTGATGAGTCTCAAATGTGCAAGTATCTGCCTCAGTTTCCCTGCCTTCCCCAGCCAGGCCCCTTGGCCAGCAGTCCTGATACAACCCCAAATTCAACTCCACCCTGGGACCTGAGCTCCTCCCAGTCAAGGCAGCAAGAACTCCCTTCCATACCCCTGGTGACAAGGGGTGAGGACATTGCCCCCTGCCCCTACTCACTCGCCCTCCTGCCCACCCTAGGCAGGACCCAGACAGCCCTGAAATAGTCTCACCTGTATGGGGCCCCACCTGCTCTTGGGAAACCCAGAGCTGACTCACCTGAATCACTCACAGGCTCGACCCCACCCAGCCCCACCTCTGCAAGCAGATCCACAGATGGGAAAACGTTGGAATGCACCCAGCATTTCTGCAAATCTCAGGCCCAAATCCTTGTCTCTGGCTCTTACTGTGACCTGCAGCAGCCAGCTACCCTATGGGGACCTCAGTTTTCCCACCTGTGAAACAAAGTTAATAATTTCCCCTTTGCAAGCATTAGTGAGAATCCTCAGCCTTCGGGAGAGCTCAGTGTTAGTTCTTCAGCATCCCTCACCTGGATCCCCTACCTGAGCAGGAAAGTCACGTAGAAAGCTCTATTCCCACTCCTCCTCGCTTTCCCAGGGTCCAGCTGCCACTGAGCAATAATAACAGCTGATATTTCTTGCGTATCTACTGTGCCCCCGGCAGTATTATGTATTTTCAGTACACTTGTATATTTAACTTTCTCAACAGCCGTGTGATGTCAATGTTTTCACCTCCATTTACAGGAAAAAAAAAAACTGAGGCTCAGAGCTGAAGCAGCTTGCTCAAAATTGGACTAAGGCCAGGTGTGGTGGTGCATGTGTTAGTCTCAGCATCCTCATGGGAGGCTGAGGCAGGAGACGGCCAGTTTGAGCCCAGCTTTGGCAATTCAGCAACTTAATGAGACCTTGACTCAAAATAAAATTTAAAAAGGCTGGGATGGAGCTCAGTGCAAAGGTCTTAGGTTCACTCCCCAGTACCTGGGGGTAGAGAGGTGGGATGGATATACTAAGAGAAAAGAGAAATTCCTGTTAGGAATCCAATGAAGTGACACAGTCTTGCTGAGATGCTAAGAACTGAGTAACAAAACGGTTTTACTCCTCTTTCTTACTGGGACCCTCACAACAGCTTCAAAGGGAAGCTATCATGATGTCCATTATGCAAAAGGGGATACAAAGATTTCCATGGATTATGGAGACAGATGGGAAGGGGGGCTGTTACAGCGCCTGCCGGGACACTTTCTACATGGCAGGCAGGATGCAAAGCGCTTACAGGGTAGCAGGATCTTTATAAACAGCCACATGGTAGATTTTCTTCTGGCCTTTGTTTCTGTAAACAGGAAAGCTAACTGGTTGCTAGAGGCCACAGGCTACAGTTGGTAGTGCTGAGATTTGAGTCCGGCTCTGTTTGATTTCGACATTACAGACGCAACTGCTTGCTACACCCGTCCCTGGCTCTCGTGGCTCCCCAACCCTGAATCTTTAAAACAAACATCTGAATCCCGGAGGGGATGGACCAAAAAACAACAAGATAAACATGCTGGAATTTGGTAAGTGGAGAGTCCCCAGGCTCATCTGGGGAGTTTCCACTATAGTGTCCCCGTCCCACAGACCTCACCACTAGGTACCTGGAGCCATCTGACTGGCACAGTGTGCCCGAGTGTCATGCAGCTGGCATCCTCCCCACCCCCACTACCAGTGTAATCTGCAGAGCATCAGACAATCAGTTCCTGAGATCAGGGGCCCAGCAGCCTGTGACCAAGGAGCCAGGAAAAGAGCAACTGCCTGGGCACGAGGCAGGAGGTTGCTGGGACTGTAAATCGTCAGTCCTCTCCTCTCTCCTTCTTCTCCTGGTCCTAGTTCTCCTCTTCCTCCTTTTCCTCCTTAGTTCAAGAAAGAGGAAATGCCCTCCTACATCATATAAAACATCTCCCTAACTCTGCCTAGAACCTTCACTAGCTCCCACCATCCCTAGACCTTCGCCTGGATTTCAAGCCCTTGTCATTTGCTATTCTTATAATTGAACCCCCTGAAATCATTGTGGGAATGTCAAGAAGTTTTGCTCCTTCTTGGGCCTCAGTTTCCCTTCTTGTTAAATAAGCCTGTTGGTGTGCTGAAGGTGAGGAGCAGGGATTTGGGAATCAGATCCAGCTTCAATATTCTGGCACTGTGATTTTGAACAAATCATCTGTCATCGCTGAGCCTTGGTGTCCCTGTTGAAAATCAGGACAATAACAGTGTCTATTTCCTGGAACTTAATCCAACCCCTGTACTTGGGAAA